TGGACGGTGAAGTTCTCATCCAACCAAACACAAGTAGGAAATAGTAGACCCAGGGTGGTGGTGGTTGTTGTCCAGTGCCGTGAGTCGGTTCCAATTCACAGCATCACTGCGTACGCCAGAACGAAACACTGCCCGGTCCTGCGCCATCCACACAGTCGTTACGTTTGAGCCCATGGTTCCTACCACTGCGTCAATCCATCTTGTTGAACGTCTTCCTCTTTCACTGACCTTCTCCTTTCCCAAGCTTGATGTCCTTCTCCAGGGACCGGTCCCTCCTGAGTAACATGTCCAAAGTATGTGAGATGAAGTCTCCTCATCATTGCTTCCAAGGATGACAGATTTGTTTGTTCTTCTGACAGTCAATACTCTTCGCCAACACCATAATTCAAATTCTTCTTTGGTCTTCCTTACTCATTGTCCAACTCTCACATGTATACGAGGTGATTGAAAATACCACGGCTTGGGTCATGTGCACCTGCGTCCTCAAAATGACATCTTTGCTCTTTCACACTTTAATGGAGTCTTTTGTAGCAGATTTGCCCAATGCATTATGTCATTTGATTTCTTGACCACTGTGTCCATGGGTGTTGATTGTGGATCCGAGTAAAAGGAAATCCTTTCAGCTTCAGCCTTTTCTCTGTGTGCCATGAGGTTGCTCATCAGTCCGGCTGTGAGGATTTGGTTTTCTTCATTTGGAGGTGTCCACACTGAAGGCCGTAGTCTTTGATCTTGGGGTGGGTGGAGACAAAGGGAGCCTCTCGTTTGAATCCATCAAATGGAGGTTCAGGTATTTGGCAACAAGAATTCAAGAACTCCTCCCCCATCTCACTTTTCTGTTTTTTAATCTCATGAAATGATGATGAGTGCAAGTCACAGGCTAGGGTATCACTTATTAAGATAAGAAGGGAACAGCCCTTTTTCTCAAGGTTCAAGGTACTCACCCCAAAGATGGCAGCAAGCCAAGAGGGATTAGCTCTAATATACCTCGGAACACTGGTTCCTGAGGTAAAGACTTAAGTAGCTTTGCCCTAGATTTATTTCACAGGCTGAAAAAATCCACTTGTAAAATCCTTTATTGCTGTTGAAATTGTTGGATCCTCCATTAATCATGAGACTACCCAGTGTTTCTTCAGAATGAACTGACTTCCTGGCGAGTGCTGGGATTGGCCTGAGTTTCCCAGTTGGGTTCATGTCTTGGTTTGCTGGCGCAACATAGCAAAGGGACAGTTGGCTAACCCTGCTCAGCAGTTCCTTCAATGTATTATTACAACATTCACAAGGAAGGAAATGCAAATAGGAAACAAACAGAGAAAAAGTACCCACATCAGTCATAGTCAGAGAAATGGAAGTTTAAAACGGGGGGATATCATTTTTAAATATCCAATTTAAAAAAGCCACTGTTGTCAAGTCAGTGTGACTCCTAGGGACCCTGTTGGATAGAGTAGAACTGACCCCTTAGGGTTTCCAAGGCTATACATCTTTACAGAAGCAGACTGTCACATCTTTCTCCTGCGGATCGGCTGGTGGATTCTAAGCGGTGACCTTTTAGTTAGCGGCCAAATGCTTAACCACTTTAAAAGGCGGTGATAGTTAATTCAGGAGTGAGTGCTGCTAGGCTCTTTGGCATTATTGATCACAAGCTGTAAAAGTCTGTCCAAAGGAAAAGAGAGCCCTGGTGGCACGTGGTTAAAAGCACTCATCTGCTAACCAAAAGGTTGGTGGTTCAAACCTGACAGTTGGTCTGCAGGAGAAAGATGTGGTAGTCACTTTCTGTAAAGATGACAGCCTTGGAAGCCATATGGGACAGGTCCACTCTGTCCTCTAGGGACACTGTGAGTCAGGAGCCACACGATGGCAGTGGGTTTTCTCCCTAAGGAATAAGCTGAAATGTGGAAAAAGTTTATTTGCAAAGATATTAATCACTATGTTTTGTGTACTAGAGAAATGTAAGCACTCCAAACAGCCAACAAGTTAAGTCATTATAATTTAAATAAATTATAATACAATGTGCCTTTGGGAAAGTTACATCTGTGAAGAGTTTTAATGGCTAAGGGGGTGTTCACGTAATGTATAATAGACTGTTGAGTAATATATTAAAATTACACATGATCTTATTTATGTCAAGAAATAAATTCAACTTGAAAGAGAGACTGTGAAAAGGGGGCGGCATCTGATCTTTAACTTCACAAGGGGAAGGGGGGCCCAGAGCACCATCACCAGCCCACGACTGGTTCCTCTGAGGTGGAGGTCAGACGTGCCACCACCCTCCAACCTCTTTACCAATTCTTTTTACCAGTTCTGACACCAACCGTCCCTCCCACAGCACCGTCTAGTTCTCTGCTGGGTTTGATAATTCGTTGCAATGGCCACACAGAACTCACAGAACTCACAGACATGACGATTGTGGGGTTTATCAGGGGAGTAACAGGTTACAGTTCAGGTTCAGGAGCGCGTTCAGGATACAGTTCTTCAACCAGGACAGCCTCCTGTCTGCCATGCTCTCAGGTACACCTCTCTTTGGCCCTTGGCCTCTCGGCCTGACATCTGCTCTGCTTGGGCAAGTGCTACAAAACTCTGTTAGTTCTGCCAATAGAAGCACCTAGGTGCACCCCACTCCTCCAGCAGGCCTCCTGCCCAAAGACACTCAGCTTTCTTGCTCTGTGGGCTGGCAAGCCCATGCACTGTCTCACGCCGGTCTCTTAGTTCTGCTGCCACAGTCTCTCTGCCATCTCTCTGCCAAGGAGGTCCAGCACAGGGATCTTGGGTCCAATGACGTGCTCCACCCATAGCTGCTCTTTCTTGACGTTAGTAAGATCCCCCCTTGTCACCTCTGGGAGGGCTCATTTTAAGCCTAGTGTGATGGCAAAACTGACCAGTCCCTGCATTAGGGTTCCATACACCTTATTTGCATGGTCCCGCCCCCACAGTGGTGCCTTGTACCTTATTGACATTGCTAACAAGCTGTCCACTCCCATTAGTGGGCCACCTTACATTTTCATGGTTCCACCCAGTCATCTGGTGGAAATCACAAAGACCATGGTGAGAAGAGCCATGTTAGTTGATTCACTGCACCACAGGCCACCCCCTGGTTCTTCCAGTCATTGACTCTTTCATACTGGAAAGTGGCAGGCTTGCTGGCCCAGGAGGGAGAAAGCTAAGGCTCTATAGCACTTGCCTGAGCAGGGCAGAGGCCAGGCCAAGGGCCAGGGAGAGGTGAGCCTGTGGGCATGGCCGAGAGGAGGCTGTCCTGATCAAAGAATGGTATCCTGAGTGAGCTCCTGAACCTGAATTGTAACCTGTTACTTCCCTAATGAACCCCATAATTGTGAGTACTGTCTGAGTTCTGTGTGGCCATTGC